TCGGACGCTTAACCGACTGCGCCACCCAGGCGCCCCATTGTCATTTGTTCTTTAATAGCACTTCCCTCTTGATTTTCTGGGATGAATCTCCAGTGTAAGCTGAAGCCTACTCATACTTCCTTGAAAAAGCCAACTGTTAGCATCTCTTCTGAATTCCACATTGAATGATCCATGAAATCACCCAGAGTGGTATTTTTTATACCACATAAATCAAGAAATGCTATAAGAGACTGTTAAAAACTGAGAACAAACTGAGGGTTGATGGGGGGTGGGAGGGAGGGGAGGGTGGGTGATGGGTATTGAGGAGGGCACCTTTTGGGATGAGCACTGGGTGTTGTATGGAAACCAATTTGACAATAAATTTCATATATTAAAAGGAAAAAAAATCAAGAAATGCTATAAATCAGGTTTTTTTTTCCTTAGCTAATTGTTAAACACTTATGAACATACTACTATTACTACTATTTAAATCTTATATCCACATTTTATAAATTGAATGTAAACTACTGTACCCATGACTGATCAATATAATTTTCGATCAAAATTTCATTACATAACATGTGAGGTCTATTTCATATTACCTTATGTAATGTTTCATAATGTAATGTAATGTAATGTAATGTAATCACCCAAATTCCGAATATTTTCAGCATGCCAAAAAGAAACCCTATACTCATTAACAATCATTTTTCATTCCTCCCTATCTCAATCCCCTGGCAATTACTGATACTACTTTTCATTTCTGTAGATGTTCCTATTCTGGATATTTCATATAAATGGAATCATAAAATATGTGGTCTTTGGTGACTGGTTTCTTTCACTTAGCATAATGTTTTCAAGAATCATCTATTTTGTAGCACGTTTCAGTATTTCATTACTTTATATGTTTATATAATATTCCATTCTATGCTATATCACATTTTCTTTATGCATTCACTTCATGGACATTTGTTTTTTTTCCCACTTTTTGGCTATTGTGAACAATGCTGCTATGAATATCCATGTATAAGTACTTTTTTAAAGTTTTTATTTAATCCAATTAGTTAACATACAACTTATTATTAGTTTCAGGTGTACAATTCAGTGTTTCAACACTTACATACAACACCCTGTGCTCACTGCAAGTGCACTCCTTAATCACCAACACCTATTTATTCCATCCCTCCCAATCACCTCTTCCATCGTAACCATTAATTCATTCTCTATAGTTAAGAGTCTGTTTCTTGGTTTGCCTCTCTCTCTTTTTTCTCCTATGCTCATTTGTTTCAATAAAACAAAAAGCTTTGCACAGTGAATGAAATGATCAACAAAACTAAAAGCCAACCTACAGAATGGGAGAAGATACTAGCAAATGACATTCTGATAGAGGATTATTATCCAAAATATATAAAGAACTCATAAAACTCAACACCCAAAAGATGAATAATCCAATTAAGAAATGAGCAGAAGACAAGAATAGACATTTTTCCAAAGAAGACATACAGATGGCCAACAGATATATGAAAAGATGCTCACCATCACTGATCATCAGAGAAATACAAATCAAAACTACAATGAGGTATCACCTCACACGTTAAAATGGCTAAAATTAACAACACAAGAAACAACAAGTGTTGGTGAAGATGTGAAGAAAGGGGAACCCTCTTGCACTGTCTGTGGAATGTGAATTGGTGCAGCCACTGTGGAAAACAGTATGGAGTTTCCTCAAAAAATTAAAAATAGAACTACCTTACAATCCAGGAATTGTACAACAAGGTATTTACCCATAGAATAAAAAATACTAACTTGAAGGGATACATGCACCTCAATGTTTATAGCAGCATTATCTATAATAGCCAAATTATGGAAACAGACCAAATGTCCATTGACTGCTGAATGGATAAAGAAAAAGTGGTACATATATACAATGGAATATTACTCAGCCATAAAAAAAAATTGCAATGTGACCATTTGGAAGAATGTGAATGGATCTGGAGAGTATTATGCTAAGTGAAATAAGTCAGTCAGAGAGCAATAAATACCATAATATTTCATTAATATGTGGAATTTAAGAAAAAAAATGAGCATGTATAAGTTTTTGAGTATACATACATTTCATTTCTTTTGGGTACATACCTAAGAGTGAAATTGATGGGTCATGTGATAACTCTATGTTAAAAATTTAAGAACTGTTTTCCAACGTGGCTAAAACATTTTACATTTACAACAATAGTGTACAATGGTTCCAATTTATCCACATCCCAGTCAACACTTGTTATTATCTGTCTTTTTTATTATAGTCATCATATAGGCTATAAAGTGGTATCTCATTGTGGTTTTGATTTCCACAATGACAAATGATGTTGAACATTTTTTTGTGTGTTTATTGGCCAGTTGCATATCTTCTTTGGATAAAGTATATTTAAATTATTTGCCCATTTTCAATTGCATTATTTGCCTTTTTATTATTAATATTTAGGAATTCTTTACATACTCTGAATATAAACTCCTTATCAGATATGTACTTTGAAAATATTTCCCCCCATTCTGTGGATAATCTTTTTCACTTTATTGATGTTCTTGTTTACAGCACCTCATGCAATTTTTATAGAGCTTTCTTTTATGACAATCTTAAATCACAGCATGAAAATTATTGAAAATGTCTTACCCGAACTATTTCACAGTCAACATTTAATTCAGTTGCAACTGCTTCAATTTTCTCTCTACACACAGAACCAAGGCTGGTCATGCCATTGTCCCAGTACTTCTTAAGGGTGGCTAAGTCTCGGTCACTGAACTGAGTGCGGTCTTGTAGCTATAAGACAGATTTAAAATAATTAGAACAATAAAAGGAAAGAATATTATAGACAGGGTCATCTGGGTTATCTATGCTAGGCTACTTTCAACACATAACTAAATTAATTTCACAGTTCTTAATATGTGTTTCCCCATTCTGAAATGGGCTTCTCCATGATATTTCCATAACATGAAAGTGTGTTAGAATAAAACAAGTCAAAAAAATTAACTGTTAGCAATTAATTAGTATTTTTAAGTTGTTTTTAGTTTTTATTTTTACCATTTTTTTAAGGTAGACTTCACACCCATTGTGGGGCTTGAACTCACAACCCTGAGATCAAGAGTTGCATGCTCTACCAACTGAGCCAGAAAGGTGCATCAGCAAATAAGCAGTATTGATTTTAAATTATTATAATCACATAAATAATACATTGTATTGTCATTGTAGAAAATAAGGATAAATTTTTTAAGAAAGAATTTAAATTATCCACAATTCTGTAAATAACACTTGTTAATATTATAATGTCTATTTTTTTCATTTTTCTATGATACACATATTCATATTCACACTAAATATATTTTAAAAAATAACAGTTAGGGCGCCTGGGTGGCTCAGTCGGTTGAGCGTCCGACTTCAGCTCAGGTCATGATCTCACGGTTTGTGAGTTCGAGCCCCACATCGGGCTCCATACTGACTGCTTGGAGCCTGGAGCCTGCTTTGGATTCTGTGTCTCCTTCTCTCTGCCCCTCCCCTGCTTGCACTGTCTCTCTCTCTCTCTCTCTTTCAAAAATAAAAAACATTAAAAATATTTAAAAAAATAACAGTCAAGATCACATCACTGTGGTGTCTTTTGAGAATTTAATCTAGATTGGCCATGTGTAGATCTTGTATTAATGTTATAATAAATTAAAAGTGTAAATAAGAAAGGCTTAAGAAGATAAGGTAGCTTTTAATAATCATATTTATGGCTTCAGAAAGTTTCATAATAACCCTATCCTTTTTGTTTTTAGATTTTTTATTCCAATAAACTATAGACCTTATATGTTATTTTAATTCAATGAATCCTAGAGGCAACTGTAGGAAGTAAATTAGAAGCATGATGGAATAATGACTTTCATTTTACTGATAAGGAGTCAGAAAAGGCAGGGTCAAAGGACACATTTAACAAGGAACAAAATGTCCATCGCAGAGCTAGAAATAGAAATCTGATTTTTTTTTTTCAAGTAACTTCATCCTTATGAGGTCTCCAATTAGCTAAGGAGGTGGCAAAAAAAAAATCTAAAAATAACTTTTAATTAAAAATCTATATCCTGCAAAGCCCTTGTATGTGTATGCATGTTTTTGTGATGAGAGAACAAGAATGAGAGAGCAAGAGAGTGAGAAAGAAAGCCTGTGATAGTGAGTTGAGGAGAAATGCTGCAAATCATGGAAGGAGGTATGAGGTTCTGTTGCTGCCTTCTGCCTAAAAAGATATGGTCTGGTCTCACAGAGGCTACACTTCAAATCCTTTGTAGAAGTACACTGATTTCAATATTCCCTTTCTTTCTTTTTTTTAAATTTATTTTTGAGACACAGAGAGACAGAGCATGA